TCGTTTTATTACCACAAAAATGAATTGTTTTTTATAAGTCCAAACTCCTACAGTCATATTGAAAAAAAAATAATGAAGAAAAGTCAATAAAAACAAAAACACAATACTAAACCGATGTTGAAATAAAAATAATAATTCTTCCCTAGTAAATTACTAGGCTCTCGCAAACAATATAACTCAAAATATATGTTGAATTCTGGAATTTCATTAATAATATCAGCAAAAAGTCACATTAATTATGTAACTAAATTAATAATTCGACTCTCTATTTTTTATGAACATAGAGAAACTAAAGAACACATAAACTAGCAAGCTAAACAAACTAAAAATCACATTTTTTGGGCCACGCATCATATATTTAAATAATATTATAAGAAAATGCTATCAAGTATAATGTATCTGAGTTTTGTTAAATTGTACTGAAAAGATAATTTAAAGCCAATGGACGCATAATAACTCAAGGAGTGTGCTCGCAAGATGGTAAACTTCTTTGCTGATTACTACAATTTGAAGTTGAGGTACAGGCAACAGAGAGCCGGCAGATCTGATTTGGTTCATTGGTTGAGTGGACGAGTGTTTTGTAAGTTTGGTTTCCAATTTTCAATTTTAACGTGTAGAGTTTGAGTTAGATTACCGAGTTAAGGGTTTACTAGTAATGTTAATTGGACTAGAATTTTAGGGAATCTCAATTGTCAAAATTGCCCAATTAATTTTTTTAACGGGTAATCAATTCGAGGCGGGGCACGGTCACTAAATACCTGACCCTGTCCACCATGAACCGGGTCATTAAAATCAAAACCATAACCACCACATTGCATCATCGATTCTATTTTTTTCACCCCATTTGGTTTGATTAACCAAAATTTTCGGTTTTAACAGTTCGAATTGCCATTCCTAAATGTTACATCAAGTGAAAATCATTTTTTGAACGATTATAGCCAAACTACAATTCAATTATTTCAATAATATCTTATTTTCGTATATTTAATTTACAAATTGTAATAAATACTATAATTAATTGTCAATTAATTAATATTAACATTCACATTCATTTAATTAATATTAATTAGAATTTCACATTCACATTCACGTGAAATATAAGGGTCAAAAGGTTGAATTGAGATTTTTCAAAAATAAAAAAATATACATTTATAAAAAAAATACATTTAAAAAATTTAAAAATTATACATTTACATAAGTTGAACCGGCTAAAGCGGGAAGGGGTCATGAGTTTTCCAAAAATTGGTCGGTTTAATGGGTTTTAGGATGGGTTTTTAATTAAAGATTTTACAAGTTTAACTTAACCGATTTTGGTTTCTGTTCCCAATTTTCCTAGTTGAATCGAGCAGGTAAATCCGGTTTTTGAAACACTAATTAATTTTTAATTAATTATCATTCACAGTCATTTAATTAACATTAATTAAAATTTCACATTAGTTCGTTATTCATGTCCATATATGCTAATTTGACATCCAATTTCACTTAATTGAAAATTTAATTATATTCATTTAATATAAATAATTTAACATTCATTATTACATATATATTCCTTGGTGTTCATTCTAAATTAACTAACATTCACGTTAATTCATGTGTCATATTTGCCATTCATCTTCATTTATTCATTTAGTTGTGATTTTATACTCACATTCAAATATGCATTTTACTATTTATATGCATATATAATAATAACATTAATTTTTAGGGGTTTGTATTTCTCTCATATTTAGGGTGTGTTTGATTGATATTAT